TTTGTCCACTTGGTCGCGTACCGTCAAATTAAGGTAGACGTATTCTTTCTATCGTGAGCACTTGAAAAACTCGTAAACTGCTTGATCATTCGCTACAAGATATATCCGGCAGAAAAGGCATCCGGAACTGTGATAAAAACAATCGCATCACATTCCACTACAACTTTCCATGCGTCCTGTAACCCTGGGTATCATTAGCTCGATGTAGTTCGGGTATTTGAAGTTTGTTTGACAAATCCGCATTCTTGTCCCTTGCAAAAGCCGGCGTGGGCGCATCACTTACTATCGAAAACGGCATACTTAGTATTTCTCGGATAGATTAAATTTCCTTTTCGCAGACTAAAGCGAGGTTCTTCCAGCGTAACTTGTTTTCGTGAGTTGTAGTACCATTTTTGGAGGACCGTATGCATGCTTCTTGTTTGGGAAAGTTGATTTTGACTACTTCCGTGGTGTCAATTGTGCAGTTTTCACACCTTGTTGCTCGTTGACGTAGTGGTGTGGTGAGTAAAGAGATCGAATAAGGTTTTTTTCGTTGGCCGATGCACCAGCTGTTTTGGTTCAGTGGTTGCGGTGGTTTCCCATTACCTCAGATTTGGGTAATTAAACCGTATCTTTGACAACATCTTTAAATAACAAGAACGGATAGAGGATTATGGGCAACAATGTTATAACAATTGACTGGGATAAGCAAGCAAGCTAGAACAAACTAAACTCTATCAAAAGAAAAAGAAAAGAATACTGAATTTGGTCTTGACTAAACCACTTTTATAAAGCAATATGTTTGGGTGTGTGCTCGAAGATCGATGATTAGGCATAAGTGACAAATACATGTTTTGTCTTCGAAACCATATCAGCCGTATCAACATACGACTTTCACAAAGTGAATAATGTTGAAAGAAGGAATATTTTACAAATCCATTATATGTGTATTAACGAGTGTTTATTGATACTCTTTTCTAAGTAATGATCTTTCAAATCAATGAGTACTGACTGTTGTGTGTAATTAGTGTCGAGTTTTTGCTTAGATTTGAAGCGTTCCAGCAGTGCACTTAATCATCACAAACCTGAAAATTTTCAAGAAATTCTCCAGACTAGCCAGAGAGATGGGGAAAAGCGCATAGTAAAAAGTTAATCTCTCTTTTCAATCCATCTATTGCAAAAGCTCGAGGCAAAAGATCTGCGAAATGTTGAAACAGGACATTCAATTGAGGGGAAAATCACCATAGGTTTGCGAGCATGAATGTCGAAACTGGAGAAAGGCTGCATTTGATTAATACGTCAGTAGAGCTTGCCTAACGTAGCCCAGGTATAAAAAATGGCTACGACAACCACTGTGTGCTGATATTAAAGCAATTTTCAGTAAATTCAATATGATGTTCCACAATCGAGCATGAAAATACTTGCTTGCGGTGTGTGCACTTTGATGAATTGTGAACGTATTACACAAACATAAAAGATATTAGTTATTAGTTTCTCATCGCAATTAATTTGAAAATGCAACGATGAGCTGTCAGACTAGAAAACATGTCAATGAAAGTAGTCACATGCAGCACTGCTACATCTTGTTTATTCTTAATTAAGGAAGGATCCCAAATTGCAGATGCGTTCTGGAAGAATGCTATTATTAGATTCGTTTTGTTGAGATGAGTTGAGCGTTTAAATCTTTAAACATGAAAAACGTCCAGGGGCACTTTTTCAAAAATCAGTCGTTCAGCATTTATTATGTTTTTGGTTGATGTGTGCATTCTTACCAGTCAGCACACTCAACACTTTGCCAGTTATGCACTTTCAAGCTGGATTTCAATGCACATCATGCATTATCCAAACAACTTCACAACTTCAACCGTTCATGCTTCTTTCAGAGTTTCTCGCAGGAAGCTAGAGTTGAGATCAGCTCATTAAGATACACCCATGTGGCTTTCATTCCAGTTCGCTACTGCGATTTGGAATCAAGGTTTTCGAAAGTCGCAAAACATTACTCTTGTGTTACATTCGTCACGCAGAACAAGGATTGTAAGCGAAATTACCAACATCTTTTAGATTATCAACAATTTGTCAAGCTATCAAATAATAACAAATTACGAATATAACGCACTACTGAAAAGTGTAGAAATGCTGCAGCAACAGAGGCAACAGAGTTTTTTAAAGCTTTACTAGAGTTTTCCTGCAGTCAGTTCGTCAGTAAGCTCAATTGTATGCATTCAGATCAGCTGTTCAATTGCAAGGAATTACAGCAGGATTAAGTCAGGAACTCGGTTCCATTTTTTATGTGTAGGATGATGTCATCGTGCATGTAGATGGGTGCTGAAAAATCTGAATAAAAATCACAAATTAGAAAAGATATTTTCTTGCTTACTATACAAACAAGTTTCAAGCAAGCCTATCAAAAATTATTTCTTGTGAATCGAAGAGAAAGTCGAATACTCACCATAAATTTTCACAGGAAATCAAAAACAGCAGGTCAAAATAGGTTTTTTTGTATACAAAGTATACCATATGTTTTGCGGTGCTGGCAGTTTTGTATGTTAAATTCTGCAGAATTTTGGAAACGAAAAGTAAAAAAGCAGTTTTCTATTGCTGCTCTTCATTAGGCGTTAAATATTGAGAGTCGGGCTCAAGAGACATTTTCAGGAATCATTTCACAAAAACTTTCCTAGTTGTTTTTTATTCATAACTTTTTGTAAAAAAAATGGCTTAAAACTTCTTCTATCACATATCAGCTACTCAGAATCATCACTTATCAATAACAAATGGTTTTGCTCCTAAATGGTGAAAATTCCAAAAGCTCGTTTCTGCTACTTCCTAGGCTTCGTTTGCTGTAATGGCCCGAAGAGCGTCATGATCTCCACTAACAAACATCAAAGTTAAAAAAAGGTAGACTATAGTTTCCAAGCGTCAAGACCTGAAACCATATGTTTTTACTTGTCCAAATTTCTCGAATGTTCTTAAATCGGCAAAGGCAAAATTGGCAGATTTGATTGCCTTACAATATAAAAAAACACACACAACAATTACTTTTTCAGCTAAAGCTGTGTTTGTATTCGCGCCATAAAGACCTTGCAAGCGATGAAGCTTGGCGAAGTATACAATTAAGTGTTCAACAAAATTTAATTAACTTTGCAAATGGTTGAATGAGTTTCTGCTAGAATCAAATACTTGTTAATTTTGGCTTTAAAATCATCATTTTGTAAATCTAATTTTGTAGGGCTTTCATTTGACGCTCTAGTACAACTGATCCCTCAATTCGGGTAGAAAAGACGGCCTGCAACGTATCAATCCTGACAAAACCGTCAGGACTCCATAACTTCGTTCAAAGTGATTTTCTCGTGATCGAGTTTTGACATGTGGAAAGGAAATTTTTACAAGGATTCAAAAACTACCGAAAATTCAGGAATTACTCTTATAGAAAGGGCTCTCCGACGAATGTCGCGTCTATTTATGGAAAATCCTTTGAATAAATGTAAATTCTGAAACATTCGTTGGCCTTTCAAATCCTTTCAAAAAAATTTTTTCGAATAGTCCGATTACTTTGAAGTTATTATGAACAAGGTTATGGATTTCCGACGCTGCGTCAAGTTGTGGCCGTCCTTTCCACGAATTAGGGGCTCAGTTGTACATGCCTCATCAAAGTCTTTCTTAAAACCCTAAGAAAGCAATTTTCTTCTTTTTGCCCAGTACCTAGTATACATATGAAACAAATCTCATCCGCTCTGCAGCTCTTCACTGATAGGTACAATTAACTTTAACTAACGTTTGTAAGTCTTGCAACTGATTTTGTGTTCTTTATACGATCAGACAAAGGGTTCACCCACGCAAATATCAGTTATTGTGTTATGCTTACAATGCTATGCTTGCTTTGTTAGTAACATTCGAAACGGTAATTTTGCAAGTTTTCGGTGCTTTATTGCTGTGCGCTAACCTGCAACGCGAACCAAAAAGGGCATGCCATTTTTGTTCTGAAAGTACAATAAATTGTAAGCGATGCATCGGAGTAGAACAATGAAGAGCACCAAACAGCATTTTATTGGTCCTATTCAATTATTGCCATTGAATGCATAGCCGAGCAAACGAGCCACAATTCATAAGCCAAAATTAGTGCTGGGAATTAGCTCATGAATTAGTTTGCGCTGATAGCCGCCCATAAGGCTGTGCAACCGTTACTAAAGGTAAGTGAATTTGCTAACAGAAAGGGAATGGTATAAAAACCCATCACAAGTAAAAATTGCTGACGATGCTTGCGGGTCTGCTCTTCCTTCTTGTTGTTCAGGTAACAAACATATGTATATGTTATCTAAAAACAAAAAAGGCATGCCATTTATATTCAGTTTGACAAAACTTGCTTCGAAGTTTTGGCAAGTTTTCGAAAAGCCCGACTGATAACATCTGTTTGACACTATAAAAATTTATTTACTTGAAATATAATTTTTCGAGCAGCTTTACCAAATAGGAACTCATTACTATAGCTAATTTTTAGCGGCTTGTCTTATTCGAAATCGTTGACAGATTCGCACCCGGTGCCATCAAATTACAGGAATAAGCATAGGAAATTTATTTCTCATGGTCTGGCGTTTGTAAGCTCAACCGGTCTCACAATCACAATTTTTCAGAGAGCTAAGAAAGAACGTTTGTGAGTAATCTAAGAGAAGAGAGTTATTGGTTTCTGTTTCAGCCAAAAACTTAGTTTGTGGTCAAAACATAAATGAAAATATTAAGTCGTTTTTTTACAAGTTACTGATTTATTGAATTCAAGCGTGCATGTTCCACCTTCTTGTCCATAATTGATATTTTCTAAGCTTGATCTCAGTGACTCTGTAGTACGTTCAAGACATCCTGTTCAGAACGCTAATAGTGCGATTATACGAATTTCAGTTGTAAGAGACGCATGTGATAGTCAGAAGGTCTCCTATTTGCATAGATTGGTCGAACAGTCAAACATGTACTGTCTGAATGTTAAGCGATAGCTAGGGGTCCAGGTAGTGCAACTACATTTTTTGTTGATTATGGGAAAACTTTCCGAGGTAAACGCGGATTTTTAAGTCCTGCACAAAGATATGCCTATGTTGAGATAGAATCAACTGTAGCATTTTTTATAGAGTCGTTAGCTATTATAAGATGAAGGTTGAATTTGGCTTTCATTTTCCTACAGCTTGCTTACGGTCACCGCTCAGGGCTCAGGACAAGCTGGCACCAAATTTCCAAAACGAAGACTTTGATCTTGGCTTCGTACGAAGTCCCCCTCGAGCCTAAATCCTAAACTTAAAAAAAAACAGAAAAACGAAATGTCACCTAAAAAAGGCCTACTTTTTTGCCTTTTCGGCATTACCATCAAATATCCACCACATCTTTTGAGATATTCCATCGTGTTTTCATCAGCTAGCTTCCATTCCTCATTTCAAGCAGGGAATTGAAGATGGCTTTGGTGACATTTTGAGACAACAATGTTCACTGTTCGCTGAGGGGCTCTGATGTGCTTCCGTCCTGCAATCAACTCAAATTCAGTAATGGCTTTGTGACATGCAAAAAATCATATTGTTATCTCAGTCAGAAATTTTCCATTCCTGTCCTTTTATTGCTAGAATCTGTTCTTGAGGTACTAAATTTGTTATGTTGAATGTTAGGCTGAGTCCATATTATCACGATAGTCTCAAGTCTCGATACTCTCTTGTCCCTTTTTAGGTACTGACGAATAAAATTGAAGAACTTGATAGTACCAGCAAAGGTCCAATTCATGTTCTCGACGGTTCAAACGAAATAGGCCATGTGATGTATGACGGTTATGACGGTAATGATGACCCCGATCCCGACGAAGATGGCTACTACAACTACGAACCAGTGCAGTCCTATCCACCAAGCACCTGGAGCGATTACAACGAGATCGAAGACAACTATATACGTTAGTAAAAAAAGTAGTACTCACTTCTTTGTTAGCTGTACCATTTCATGAATGTTGTTTTCTTTTTATGCTATCCTCGTACTGAATCACTGCTGGTCAAGTAGGAATGTTTTTTCAAATAAATTTATTTTTTGAGTTTCCATTGCATATATGATTACACAGATACGCTCATACAAATGAATGAGAGACAATTGAAAACCGTAAGCTCTATCGTTGCTGGATATTTTACATTGTAAAGATCTCCAAGGTGTTATAGCTGATATATCGGTGCAGAAGAAATTGCAAGACCCTTCGCACTTCATCAGCCATTCCTATTATTAAATGAGCAGTATACTCTAGTCAATTTCAGCGAAAAGTTGGGAGAATTCTTTTTACTGCATCTGTTATGCTTTGTATTGAGATTCAATACGAACCTAAAAGTACGGAAACTGCGAAAACATGCATTCAGAGAATTGAGAGATTATCAAAGAGCTTATCTATATGTACTTTGCTACAACAGCTGTTACAACAGCTTTGCATGAAAAAATTTGCATTCCCAAAAGTCGATTTCTTGTAAGGCACGACTTTAAACAAAGCCCTCAATTCGTTTCTATGCCTGTAAGGCCTCGGACCGGACAGAGTTCACGCGATTTGATCGTCGCGATTCAATCGCTACAGGCAAATATCACGAGTTCATTTCATGCCGACCTTCTTGTATTTCGGTTTTGGTAGGTTAGTTAAGATTAGTCGTGTTAAAAATTATCACAACCGAAATGCAAGAAGTTCGGCATGCAATGAACTCGTAACACTTGTCTGTGGCGCTTGAATCGCGACGACCAAATCGCGTGATTCTGTCCGAGGCCTATAAGGCTCATTTTATTAGGGAAGCACCCAGGGAATTGCGACAAAAAAATGTCCGTTCACATACTAAACTACGTCTTTTCTTTTAAACCAAGCTGATTTACTTAGTCCTGCTCATTGAGGGAAGCGCTCATTACTAATCGACTTCTGTTGTCTGTTCTGTTCTGTTCTAATGAAATCGTTCTGACGGGGAAAAGTTCATGTTTTTCTTTGAGTAAGGGAGAAGAAGGGATAAACAAGAAGAAGAGAATTTTCAACATCAGCATTAACATATATTCATCTGGTATTGTTGGGCCAGCGCTTCATCCCTGCTTCGCAGCGGCTCACTATCCCTGTTGCGCGATAAAGAACTCCTGAACATACCTGACGCGATTTGGTAGTAACTCGTGGTAGTAAAGCGCCTCAAGGAGAGTCTTGGAATTTTGATGGTAAAAATTGAATGGTTTGGCTAAGATAAAAACAGATGTTGAGATCTTTCCGGTGCCTGAAAGGAGTAATGATTGACAAGAGCTATTAGATTGAAGGTTTGCATGAAACGCCCTAAAAGTGATCATAGCCTCATTCGAGTTCATAGACTCCACTTTGAATGATTTCATGGTAGCCGCGCGTTCGAATTTTTGCTCCAAAAATTCAAATAACTTCTTTCTCAAAAGCGCTTTGTAGATATGGAAAGCAGATTCGGAATCAGCGTCCTAGGCCCTATAAGACTGTATACATTTCATAATGAAGCGCCACTTTGACCAAGTATCTTCACTTTGACCAAGTATCTTTCCCTTGTGAGAATGCTTTTGGTTCTAACAAGGGAAGAATACTAACTTAGATTCGCCTTTTGAGATAAGACACATATATTTGGAATCAGCTTAGAACGCTGATTCCGAATAGCTGCTTGTGCTATTCTGAAGCGAGTTATGGTCTCTTTTCTATGCAAAATTCGCGTGCCCCTTGACCTACAATACCGCCGTAATTTGTGAAAAAAATTGGCGGCGGCCGCTTAACTCAGGCGGCGGCCACCGAAGTTAAGCGGGGGCCGCCGCAGTTAGGCGGCAAGCGCCGGACCACGCGACAAAGTTAGGCGGCAGACGCCTGAGTTAAGCGGCCGCTGCCAATTTTTTTTCACAAATTACGAGCGGTATTGTACTGCTGCTACGGTGTCGACGTCTAGGTGATTTTGCAATTGTGTAATACTCCCTTTCATAATCGAAAGAATTAATCTGATGCTAGTTCAACATTCTAGCACTTTTTTTCGATCAGATTTTTATCTACACGCCGTCTTACGGCAATTAGAAGTTTGTTAGTTACACGCAACAGCAAGCCCATAACTCGCGAGGGTAATCCAGGTAGCAATGGGCAAAGGTATGGTGCGGTCGTGGTTGTTGAAAATGACCGCGACGCTAAGGTACGGTAGGATATAGTCAAATATAGCCAAGAGCTTTTGATAATTGCTAAAGAGACAGCTATGCAACAAAATGTGGTGCAAACACGATAAATGGAAATCGAACGTGGAGTAAGGTAGTGAAAAGTGTTACCCGTAACATTGTCGGTGTTGCGTAATAGCTTAACATGGTGATCTAGTAGCGAGGACCTTTTCCAAATTTCTGGTGGTCATAATTCCCGTAGCTGGTAAGCTTGTGTTACCTCAGTGAAATTAGTCAGGACTAAATTGTGGAATATGGTCAAAGGTGGGACGAAACTTATGGTTTGCGCTAACAAAGTTGGTAAAAGATCATGAATAGTCGAGTTGAGGAAGCTAGAGAAGGCGTCGAGGATGGGATCATATTCAAATAGGTCATATTCAAATATTCCGGAGGAGAGATGGAATGATCGCACTCTAGAACACGGTGCAAGATTCACATCGGAAGTTATTACCCAGTTGTGCGGATCTATGAAGGTAAGCCATGCACCACTAGATAAAGTTAAGCGAATTCTAGGCTTATTATAGCGTAAATCATAGCAAATATCACTGAATGGTGAAAATTGATAATGAGCGCTGGGTATGCGCAAGTAATGATGTAATTCCTAATTCCCCCTCCAAGAAAGGTAGCCGCAATATCATCTCTTTTAGCAATAAGCGTATTGTATACGTAGCATCAGATTCAAGAGAGGAACGTAATGCGAACGCTAACATGTTAGTACGATCACAGAGAGAAGCCAAAGCATGGCGAAAGATGGACGTTATAGAGTCCTGGATGGAATTTTCTGCGGCTAATAACTGGGCTGCCAACTGATTTGAAGTGACAATACTTACCGCGGTAAATGAGGAGCCTACTCGTTTGATTTTTGCAACCGCATCCCTTGGTCCGTCACAATATGTGTAGGCGCGCAGTCTTGAATGGTAGGGTTATTATCGTGCCACGACAATGCGAACTCTTTTGAGTCGCTGATTCAAACATGATCTGAAAGGTGCCCTCGCATTTTGGAAATTGATAGGTAAGCACAGCTGCTCGCTCGCGGGCTCCCACAAAAGCACCGAATTCTCCTGAAGGGTGCAAAAATCATCCTTATACGCACAGTGTTGCATATTACCTACCGCAGAATCCGGTGAAAGTGCCCCATGACGCGCATGAACTGCTGTGTTAACCATGTAGCAATTTACTACGGAGAGATGATGGTTTACACAACATCCAAATGGAGCCGACGGATACTTAGACGAGAGAATGTTATTGGTCTTGTGGGTTTCGTTTACCTCTACCATTGACCCATACTCGCATTTGTGTGCTGTTGCATTTGCTTACAGTGTTCAATTGAAACGGCCTTATAAATTTCGTGACGCCGCGCACTGAAAAAGTTGACAGAATAAACTACCGTATGCTCGACACTTACACAAAACCGCTGGAGTATTATACCGCTTGAAACTGGGGCGGTAAACATAAGGAGAAATGCTGAATCGGAGCGCTAATTAATTTAGGCGCAAGGCATGAGCAATTATAGTTCAAAGGCGATTAACTACATCCGATTTTTCACATGAACACAACCAGACAGGTTGATGAGCATCAATGGTGAAGAAACATGACATAAGCACGGAAGTTAAGAATAAACAGTTAACGCGCGGAGAAGAAGAAGATCGCTGAGGGGAATAATTTTCAAAAGCTTAGGATGCCAGCTCCTCGCTACGCTGAAGTAACGCCGAAATGTGAGCATTCGACTTATACTTGTCCAACGCTACTTGATTTTGCTTTAACGAAAGCGAGAGCGATTCAATTTGCTCACGTGCTTAATCTAACTCATCAGAATGGTCCGGGGAAAGGCCCAAAACTTTAGGAGTTCGGCAATAGCAGTCCGCAATATATTTGCATGATCTGCTAAATTTTGAAGAGAGGTAAGCTCACACTTTCCCTTGAGCCTAACGCAGACATCACTATTTTCACACTAAAGAGATTCAAAATGCATACCTGGTTGGTTGGCTACTATTTAGCGCCTAATTCCGTAAGTATGTGAATGTCGTAGAATAGAATAGTTTGGTATTGTTAACAAATAGGTGTTAGAAATTGCTCTTTTTCAACAAGAGAATTGTTGATGTAATGTTTCGAAGAAGTTACAATTCAGAAATAGGCTAATAAGTCAGCTCCTCTGTTACAGTTGTTTTCTGCAGCTATATCTGTTTGCTAGATGCGTTGATATATTGGAATGGTGGAGGAATCATGGGTTTTTATAAGAACTGGAAAAATTCGAGTGCTCTGATTCAAAACTGCACCAATGCGATGTACATCAGTTTCTTGCCCCATCTTCATGCTGCACCTTTCGATGATTAACCTCGCATTTTACAAATTTTAGACACTGCTGTACGGAACAGTTCTTATCCATGAGAGACTTGTACATCAAAAATGGACAGATGGACTGGGAGCATAGCTGCGATAGGGGTGTGGTAAATCTTACCCCTTCACTTTAAAGCCAAACTCCGGATGACCCCCTTCACCTGGGCTGAGATTGGTATTCTACTCTGAGAATATGAAATAAAAATCGTTATCAAAAGTTTTTGCAGGCTAAGTACCTCAAACAACATGTCACTCATAAATTTACAAAGGAAACGGTATTTATATTTATTCGAATTATTTATTAGGTCGTTCCATAAGTTCGTAGCGTTTTTATAAACCAACAAAATCATCAATTTACGGTAAAAATCAATCAAAATTATATTCCTCGTTGTAGCGCACGACCTTTTGGCACA